TTCATCCACTTCTGGACTATGGCTTTGTTCCGGAACTTAGGTTTGGCATTCACATCCCTTTTACAAATCTGGCTTATTTGTATGCAGACTGTTGGTCCCTCGCCTCTAAGGCAGATGCAATCTAACTGTAAAAAAACAACACCATAATTAGTCTATTTTTAGGACATGCGTGTTATAGGGCAATGGGTCTATTTGTTTCATTTTTAAAAATGTAGCCGAGGAACCGATACAGGAAACTATTTGGCCATATGAGCAACTGTTCAATGTTTGGTGAGTTGCTTGGTGCAGAAGACAGACATAATACTGAATACATCTTCCAATAGTACTGATTATAGTCTACACAAATATGGTACTAGCTATTGTTGACACTACGACAAAGTCGCCAAAAGGCTAAATCGTGTTTCTAGAAAACTGTTTGAATATTGTGATCTCTCTGAAAATCACACACAGTCTGTGTAGTTGCGCAAAAAGTTATCATTACTTATGACATATGGAGTAGGAAATTATGTGTGTGTCTTCGAAACAACGTACAGTTATAAATAACAGCCATGAAACAGTGGGATTCTGCTCATGACAACTCCTATCAAGTGTCACGACACAAGAGAATGTGAGATTGGGCGCTTTAGACGCTGGTATCCATTCCTCACCCAGATGGATATCTAAGGTTGCATACCTGCATGGTGTCATCCTTTGCCCTACCCAGACACGATTTCCCCCTTTCAAGTCTATTGCCCTTTTTTCTGAAGAGCATGTGATGCAAAGGGTGCTTCAGATCTGAGCTTATCTTGAGGTATGTGCGAGCCCTCCAGATCTTGGTCCTGTAGTTCATGGTATGGTAGTCAAGAAGCTACCTCACTGCTATACAAGAGGTGTCTCCAGTGCACCCCCAGAATAATGCGCATTGCTTAGTTTTGCACCATCTTAAGTCTCTCAATCTGAGTATCCAAGTTTAATATAAGCTCTTATTAAAACTTAAACCTATTTTGAAATTCAAGCAATTATCTGTGAAGTGTAGGATTTTAAACAATAAAACAAATTTGTAACATAACTAATTATAGAATGGAATAAGATTTGTAATATTTGTGATCTAAATGTGAGAAAGAAAGATTGACATAAATGATTGATCAGTATGAGCTGAACAATGAATGAATCAAGATTTGACATCACTGCACTTGGGGCATTACACATATGCTCTGCCCCCTTTCCATGGTAACCACAAAAGAATTCCCACACTGATTCTGTCAGCATGCTCTAGGCAAAGAAAACTTGTTGAAGACAATATTTTAAAATGACAGCCTACCAAACTATTTTGAAACAAAGTGTAAACAAATGCAATAGAACGAAACTGATTAATAAATCAAAACTCACTTAAGTATCCCACACTTTTCAATCTTGTATTTTAAAAATGTTTGTTGTGTACCTTTTGCAGAATGTAGCAATACCATTCCCCAGCATTTGTCAGCTGTTTGTGGTTTAATTAGGCAATTTTACATAAAGTAGTTGCCACTGCTTTCTAGGTAATCGGCTCCCCATACCATTGTAAAAATCAACCCAAAGCAGTCTTCTGCCAAACTGCCAGCAGCTGAACAAAAATGGGCATCTTGGAATTACAAACCACATGTGTACCCTAAATCTACAGATGGCAACTCAAACCTTCAATCATTCATTGTCATGATGTGCCATTATAAGTTACACAGGGTTCACTTCTGTTCTATCCTGTGCGATTACCTCAATATCATGGATAGAAACCACTCCAGCACCTTTGGCTTCTCTCATCAACATTCACTTTAGGATTTGGACATCCTCATTCCCTCAATGGCTCTATCCATTATTACTAAATGTAAGACAAGTGATGTGTATCTATCGGAGGTAAATGTGTCATAATTTTTCAGTTTTATTTTCCCTAAAACTAATTTTAATTATGCTCACTCTGAGTGCAGTTTTTTTTCCACAACCATGACAAATTACATCAATATATGATGGTCATTCAGAAAGTAATGCTCCAATTTTTTTCCCCTCATAATCTGTATAAAAGTGTATAAAAGTTATTTATAGAGAAATTGAAAGTGCCATCAGAACAAGAGCTGGCATGCACGCGTGCACACCGACGCTATGCACATACACATATTTACAAAAGTTTGCCACAATTTATTTTTTAAACAAACAAATTTTACAGCAGTTGCTGTTTGTAATGCCAACTGCCCTCTATACAGATTAATTCAGCTGGGTTTGGTTGTTTTGTCAGAATGAGCTGCCACTTCTTATATCATCATCAGTTCTCGTTATGCCTAGTGGCACATGAGGCTTCAGAGAGGACTTTCCCTGCTTTCCTGTCCTGTGCAATCTTCAGTGCAGTTTTCCCCTGTCAAAGATGCCGCACTCAGGTCACTTTCCATCGTTCATCTCCATGTTGTTTTTGGGCGCCCCTGTTTTCTCTTTCCCTCTGGTGTCCATGTGAGAGCTGTCTTGGCGGGTATATCAGGATTCATTCTCGTAACGTGGCCAAGCCATTCCCATCTTCTCTTGGTTATCATACTGTCTAAAGTTTCTTGGTTTGTGACTTGAAGTAGTTTAGTGTTTGAGATTGTATCTGGCCAGAAAATTTTGATAATTCTACGTAGACATGTGTGGTGGAAGGTGGACAGCTTGTGCGCATCCTTTATGGTCATTCTCCAGCATTCTGCTCCATAAAGAAGAACTGGCAAAATGATGCTCTTGTAGAGTCGGAGTTTCGTTTCTCTGCAGTAATTGTTGGATTTCCAGATTTGCCTCATCCTTTCAAAAACCGCTCTAGCTTTGTTCAGGCGTGACTGTATGTCCTCTTTGGTCCCTCCCTTATATACAATAACAATATTTCAAATTTTAAGCGTGCACAATTTCATGTTTTTATCCTCATTCAGTGAGAAACAAAATCTGTGGGGTGTTACTTTCTGAATGCTCTTTGTAAATTCAAAGTTTAATAGTTTCCAAATTATGTTCCTGAGATTACTGTAAGAATACTAGTCAACCAAAATAACACACAATGTAACAACTCTTCAAACATTTTTATCATAAATACACATTTTTAGGCATTATTTCATCTGAGGGGATAAAGGTTACAAGCTTTTTTTTAATGACTGACAAAATTCAGCTTTATTTCTTTAAAAAAAAAAAAACGTATATCCAAACTCTTGAACAGTATTGAATATTTTATGACAACCTTACGAATACAAGCTGTGAATGAGCAAAAAACCTGGCAGGTTTTTCTTTTTCAATTATTCCTATCTTGAAGGAAGTGCACCAACTCTAGATGATTAGTGATTAGAAAGGATTATCATCACAGCACTCCTGACAGATCCATAGGTGCTCCGATCTCCTCCTCAAAAGCTCCACAAGTGTAAAACGACTGATGACTCCTGTTCTGTGTTGGTAATGAAACGTCTTGTCCCCTTAGTGAAATATTTCTTACAGCTCCAGACTGCACCCCCATGTCCATCAGTCTAGGCAGGGATCCAGAGTCATGTCTTTTGGCGTGCTCCTCTGTACGGTAAGTGCAGCGCATGGCATTGATAACATCACCTCTGTCCAGTGCTGGACCAGCTAAAGCAACTGCAGTGTCAGCAAGATAGACCAAACCTAGGTGTGCAACTCTAACTCAGAGATCAGTGTCCCATGTCTTGACATGCATTATTGTATAAGACAGGCTCAGTTCAAGAGTATGTATAAGACAGGCTCAGTTTTTCAGTTCAAGAGTATGTATAAGACAGGCTCAGTTCAAGAGTATGTATAAGACAGGCTCAGTTCAAGAGTATGTATAAGACAGGCTCAGTTCAAGAGTATGTATAAGACAGGCTCAGTTCAAGAGTATGTATAAGACAGGCTCAGTTCAAGAGTATGGTTAGGTTTCCTTGAGTAACAATTTTACAGTAGCTGTTCACTGCGGTTTTATGGTTCACAGCTCCTGTGGACTTGTAATGTAAGCAACCCATGTGTGAAAAATTCTAGTTGTCATGCTTATCTGAGAAGACTAGGTATCTAACCTCATACCCAGCAGATATAATAAGAAATGAGGAGGATATGCCCCGCCCAAATGCTGGTGTAGCTGATTAGATATCTAGTAATTCAGGTATTTACTGGTGAAGAACTATAAGGTCCCCCCACTGTAAGTAAGTAAAGGACTCTTTTTCCACATCTTCAGGTGCATATAGGGTCCCTTGGTACTCATGCTTAAAAAAAAAAATCCTAGCAATCATTATCATAATCCCACAATACTTTGTGCTGTTGGGTCATCGGTTGACTGTATCATTCCCTCCATCTGTCAGATGAAAGAGACAATGTTCAGTCAGCAAAGTTCTGTCCCACGTCTTTCTTGGTCTGCCTCTTATTTATTTTTTTCCCTTCTACTTAGCCCTGTAGTATTTCTGTTGAGAGGCCTGTAGATCTTATTACATGTCTGTACCATTGCACTTGCCGTCTCTTTCCTAGAAATTGAAAATAGTCTGCCTAATATAACTTTGCAAAAGATGATAACTCAAAACCTGCCAATACACATTTAAAAAAAAAAGTTTATATAGCAAGTGTCGATCAGATATACAAACAGTTGAATCCTCACAGGTGCTTTGGAATTTGTGCACTTTTACGAATTCTCCTCGTAGGATCTACAGAAGCAAACAGAAGCACTCAGAGAGGCATCTGTATGCTAGGAAAGTTAATCTTTACAAATTAATTTAATCAAACAAAAACTCTTATATATCACAAACAATATGCACCCTACAACGTGAAACATTTATTCTACCCAAACATCAAAACCAGAGAAGCACAAATGGCTATCTTTCAGGACACCATACATAACTTTGAAAAAGTGTCTCAATCCTATCTTCTTTCACATTTTTGTCAGCTCACTCAAATGAATAACCATCTCATTATGAATGCATAACAGAGAACAATGACAACATGAATGAGGACAAAGCTGTGTGGATGATACCCAGGATCAAATGCTAAATGAGGAAGTCTAGGTAATATCAATTTCTAGCATAAGTGTAACTTCTGGATGGTGATCCCTGATTTTCTGATGGCGGAACATTGAGGAAATCCCAGATAAGAATTGTGTCGTCGTGTGAGCTGCTCACAATCTGGAATTCGTCAAACTGTAAGCGAAAAACTCGTCCTGAATGTTCCTGGTAAGTGAAAAAGCAAATTTGTTATGACATGATTTTTAGGAGGCAGTTGCAAACTCTTCAGTAATTTTAATTTTTTTTTTATTTTTTATATTTGAATATTATATTGTAATACAAATTTTGGTTGAAAGAATTTCTAAGATTTCTTCTCTTAATTAAAATACTGTCTGCCTGCTGGTCCTATAGTCACAGATGTCAATCTCCATACAGTCAGATGTTTACAATTAACCTAGGCTCTTGGATCTATTCAGCATAAACATGAGTGCGAGAAACTGTTCTGAGAAGTAAAGGCAGCCAGCGGCGTGATAATGACCCAATACTTATCCGGTGCTTATTGTTCTACAGAAAAAAATGGGACTACAGTTTATGTCAAAGATGCCTTAAGGGTATGGAACCAGGTCCTGGTTGCGTTTTCTGATCAAAAACAAGTACCATTCTGTAAAATATTTGTAAGATCAATAGGAAACAGACAGAAAGCTGTCATACAGGCATGCTGGGCACTGTCTAAAGATATAATTTCAACCAAAACCTAGAAAAGCCAGGAAGACTTTTCTTAATAGGGTTAACAAGCATGCTGTAAAAAGAATCTACTGACCCAAAGTCACAGATACAGAAGCCAAACTGTAAATCACAACACAATATGCCAAATGTGTTTTTTATAGAGCAAGCAAAGAATTATATTGTGAAAGATTCTACAGCCTTTTGTTTAACTTTATATTCTTTCAAATTGAAGCTACAGACACACAAGCGCCTTTAAGATATCATGTTAGAGTTCTATTACAGTCAAATTGAACACAAGGAGAATAACTGATTTTAATAATGATTTGTGGATATAATGTTTCCTTGGGTGAGCATAATACCAGAGCAGCACAAACTGGCTCTGCATACAGGGAAGCCTCTTTGGATGGCGGCGAATGCTCACGTTCTGTCCCTGTCTTCTCTTGAGGGCCGCCCAGCATTACGTGGCTTCTCTGGACTGGCCTGATGCAGGGCACCACCTGTGACCTAACAGTGGCTTTTCTGGGCTGGCCTGATGCGGGGCACCACCTGTGACCTAGCAGTGGCTTCTCTAGACTGGCCTGCTGCAGGGCACCACCTGTGACCTAGCAGTGGCTTCTCTGGACTGGCCTGATGCAGGGCACCACCTGTGACCTAGCAGTGGCTTCTCTAGACTGGCCTGCTGCAGGGCACCACCTGTGACCTAACAGTGGCTTCTCTGGGCTGGCCTGATGCGGGGCACCACCTGTGACCTAGCAGTGGCTTCTCTGGACTGGCCTGATGCAGGGCACCACCTGTGACCTAGCAGTGGCTTCTCTGGACTGGCCTGATGCAGGGCACCACCTGTGACCTAAGAGTGGCTTCTCTGGACTGGCCTGATGCACCACCTGTGACCTAAGAGTGGCTTCTCTGGACTGGCCTGATGCACCACCTGTGACCTAAGAGTGGCTTCTCTGGACTGGCCTGATGCACCACCTGTGACCTAGCAAACAAAGTTGACCACACGACAATAAAGATGCAATGTCCCATTAAACTAACCAGGTAGGCTAACCCAGTCAACAAACACCTGCAGAAGTCAGATGTGTCAGCGGAAAGGCGCAAATATCGCAGCCTTGATGTGAACAGGCATAACGCAATTGCATCTTTGGATGAATGTAGAAGAAGAAGATAACGTTTTTTAAAGTGGTCACTATGATGTCATATAATTTCATTATTGCGTCACACTGCTATCTGTGCAAAATGACCAAAATTACTCTACAGTATGCTAACCACTGTTGTGTGCCCTAGATCCTTAGCTCATTCGGTAGTAGTCAAATCATCATGCAACTGTTGGCAAACATCATATATAATATATTTTTTAATCTGTGTCAAATGTGGTTCTTATATTAATCCTTCTTGTGTGAGTTCCAGGGTACCATTATAGTTATAAATAAAAATCATTAAACCTAGCATTTATTAGTTTCAAGTAACTACCACCTAGATAGAATGAGTAAAAAGTAACACCTGCTTGATACGGAAAGAGTTGGTACTTAGTACAACTTAGTTTTTTTAAACAGACATTACTCTACAACTGTTAGCTTGCTTAATTTAATGTAGCAAGTATTAGGTCACAAAACTTACAACAAGGGTCCTTAAACACAGGGTTGCTGCAGGTGCCCTGGGGTCTAAGGCTGCCTGAAGGTCCCATACCTTGATTTTCCTGCAAGATCACACAGAAAAAAAAAACAGAATATTATTATTCAATATACAAGAAATCTCCCCAAACAGACCTGCATTTTTTAAAGACAATCACGTTATGAGAATGACTTCTGATATACCTGCCAAAACAGCTCTCACATGGACACCAGAGGGAAAGAGAAAACAGGGGCGCCCAAAAACAACATGGAAACAAACGATGGAAAGTGACCTTAGTGCGGCATCTTTGACATGGACACTGCACTGAAGATTGCACAGGACAGGAAAGCATGGAAAGTCCTCTCTGAAGCCTCATGTGCCACTAGGCATAATGAGAACTGATGATATTTTGTCCATATTTCTCTACATCAAGCTGAGACTGTTATAGATCTGCTCATTGTCTAGTGTATAGATTTTCAAACTTAATATTAAAGTACCCCATTGTAATAATAATTACATAGCACCCCCCCTCCTCCTCCAAATCGACCTTCTGTGATCGAACAAACAGCAAGATGTAGTGATAAATTTGCTTTCTTTTACCTATCCTATTTCTTTCATTTCACAACACATTCAAAAAAGATGTTTACAAAAATTTACTTCGAAATTTAAAAAATGTACATTTGTTTTTTCAAATCAGCCACTGCAGCAATCACATTAAACAATCACAAATAATTAACATAACGAAAGACAATTATAAAACCTAAATCACGGATAGTGTATAAAGTAATAATGACAAGGACTAATCTGACATACCTCTACCAAATTATGAGTGCTCAGCTTCATGATTAGTTATCTATATTCAAAATCTGCTATCAACATCTGAATCATTTCGGTGCCCATGGGACAGTTTGTTCTAGAGCTGGGCTATCCAACTATGTTTTCTCAGGGGCCAAAGTGCTAGAAAATGTGGATCATTATGGGTCAGATGCCTGAACCCCAGCACAGAAAGATCATTAACAAAATATAATTGACAGGGGATCCGCGGGCCAGCTGTAAGGCATCTGCGGGCCAATTTGGCCCACGGGCCACCACTTGAATAGCCCTGCTCTACAGCTTTAGAGATCAGATACAATATTGACAGAATTTACAAGCAACTTTACATAAAAACTATCATTACAACATTTGGTACTGTTGTCTTTATTTGTCAAGCAAATTTTCTCAAGGACTGAAAATACTAAGAATTGCCAAAGCAGTCATTATGTACTCAAGAGATAATTTTTCCTTTCATCAGTATAAACCCATGACCATATGGCACAGAAGTTAGTGCATTTGCTCACCAAGACAGCAGTCCTGGTTAATCTCTTGTGTGGTAAGTTCTTTAATTGACCATATTACTCTGGTGCAGACTAGTTTTAAGAATTTTCTCTGATTATGAAAGACCTAAGGAGATGCCATGGTGTAGCCAACAAACACTCGCAGGTGGATCCGAAGGTCATTGGTTCAAGTCCCAATGGAGCCGTCCTTTTTAAAAAAAAATACAAAATGACCTTGGCTACAAGGTCAACTCAGCCTTACATGGGTACTCAGGTTAAGTCATCTGAAGTAAAGGCGGCCACTGTATCATTGACCACATCATCACCCTCCAATTGCCAATTGGTCTATAAAATATATGTCTAGCCCTAGCTCATGTGCAGTTGGTTTTGTTTTGCTAGGAGGGTGTGTATGTTTGTGTGTGTGTGTTTATTTTTACTGAACACAGCACTGGAAGATGGGGGAGAGGGTGTAACTGAAAAGGATGAGGAGGGGGGGGGGGAGGGGGGGGTTGGCTTGTTTAAACATTCTGATGTAAAAATTAACCATTAATGGCCTCTAGCAACAAGAGTCGCTGAAGCAGTCTATGTACTAGAAAATAAATGTCTTATTATTTGACCTCAGGAAGTGTGTAAGATTTAATTAGTGTTTACTAATTACTCGTCAGCTCTGTGGCTAAGTCGATGCGAACACTTCGCTTCGTAATGCCGGGATGCTGGGTTCGATCCCAGCTGCAGGCAATGCGCCTTGCGTTGGTTTCGACAGTGGTATCAAGAAAGCCGACCGTCCAGAAAGCAGTGGCAAACTACTGGACGTAATTTTGCCTAGAGAAACCACACAACAGCCAGGGGCTGTTAGGGTTGGTTCTGCAACGTCCTGTAAAGGATACGCAACAACCTTTTAACTAATTACTCTCCTCCATTTATTTCTTTGAAACAAAAAAAAACGGATTTAAAATGTATGTAAATATTTACTTCTAAAAAATGTCTTGATGAACTCTGTAAAACAGTTGTCTAGCTGAGAATTCCTGTGTTTGCAGAATTTGTTTCTCATGGGTTTCCAGAGCAAAATGGTTCAACAAGGGATGCCTTGCACCTGCACAATCAATGGTAATTAATATGCACATTCACATATGGATATATGACTACTTTTTCACAGAAAATATTAAAACCATACCCATCATATGCACCACTGACAATCCTTTTGCTGTCAAAACGAATGCATCTGACTAGTTCTTCATGACCTTCAAGGATTCGCAAACAAGCTCCGCACTCAATGTCCCATAGTCTGCAGTAAATCAAACAAAATTTCACAATCAGGAATGTTATACATAACTGTACATGTATAAAAGCCCCATTATCAAAATCTATCCACTGTTTTTTGCAACACAAGGAAAAACTCAAAACACTAACACTGATTTGTTTTCTTTTTCAGTATTTGTCAGGGTATGACAGACTTATTATTTGTAACAATACAAAGTAGAATAAATATGTCTTCATTCGTGGCTCTTAAACGAAAGTATTTACTCATGAAGAGATACTTTCAGCAAACTCTTAATTGGCTGCCTTTTATAATATGTTTGCTAATGGCGTCCGTGGTTTAGACACTGAAAAAGAGTTGCATAATTCTGCTGTGCCAGGTTCAACCCTAGCTGCTGGCGATTTGGAAGCAGACTGTCTTGTGCTGGTTTCAATAGTGGTTTTGAGAACCAACTGGCCAGAAAATGGCAAACTACTGAAAGTAAACTTGCCTAGTGAAATCACAAAAGGGGGAAAATGTTGGGGTTTGTTTTGCAACATCCTGTAAGGAACATACAACTAACTGTTGCTAATGAGTAGCAGGTGTCCATTCTTCTTTTATCTTCTCTTCTTTCGTTCGCTTGAAATAAGTTACCTAAATCTGCAGTGCTGTCTCTAGTATGAACTTCACTGTCTTTTGTAATTCACTAAGCGGCCCGTTAAGTTTGACTTCCACAAGTGTCTCTTTTGGCCAGAAGTTTTGCCTGGAAGCGTTGAATCTGGGACGGTCTTGGAGGATGTGATCTTTTGTCTCAGGTGCCAGTCCATTGGTACACATGGCTGATTCGCCAATCATAAATTTTGTGTACATGTGGCAGCGAAGTAGACTGTGCCCTGTTCTAAGGCGAAGGATAATTACTTGCTCTGGTCTGTCCATAATATGGTAATCGTCTTGTGCCAGTTTCGGTGGCTTTAAACACTTGGGTCCATTCCCCCCCCCCCCCCCCCAAATAAAATGAGGCGCTGGAACCCCAGAGAACACAACATTCAACACTTCATGCTTTCACCAGTGGAACAAACATGTACCTGATGGTGTTGTCCGAGCTGCCACTAACAACCAGCCGCTCCCTGTACTGAAGGCAAGCAATACCCCGCTTGTGTCCATTCAAAGTGCGCACAAACTCACAGGTCGATGTGTTCCACACCTGTAACAAAAACCCAACAGCATCAGCGCCAACTGTTCAGTGAGCCATGGCAAACTACTAAACTTAAAAATTACCTTGATAAACAACACACACCAAACAAACGCCGGGGTTGGTTTGATACGTCCTGTTAGGGTATGAAATTAACTTCTTTTTTTTTTTTTTTTTTCAAATATAAAAACTGATTTTGATTATGACTATAAAGAAAAGTACTTAAAAAATTATATCCCATACCTCACATTAAGGACCACAAGGCAGGGGGTTTTACGATTCTTCATCCACCTCCTTCTTCTTCTTCACTTCCTTTTTTACCGCTGTGGGTGTCGAGGGAGATATAAGGTTCTGTCTCTAGCTCTTCTGGCCGCCTGGACCATAGGCACATTGTGCTGTTGTAGAGTTTCTCTGATGTTATCATTCCATCTTGTTCTTGGTCTACCTCGTGCTCTACGTCCTTATCTTTCCATGTATGCTTTGTTTGGTATGGTGTCCTTAACAGTACAAATTTTAGAAATCAAAGAACTAACAGGTTGTATTAAAGCGAAGGCTAGGTTGGAGAACTTCCTCGTGTGGGTTGAGGAACCTCATTGTGGGAGAGAGAATAGAAAAACTGCATCAATAACAAGCGTGATGCAATTAGGGGTATTTCTTGTGAAGTTGAAATGCATCTGCCCCAGAGGCAAGGAACCAACATTCTGCATACAAATAAGCCAAAACTCAAACGGATGTACATGCAAAACCCAAGTTCTGGAACAAGACTCAAGTCCAGAAGTGGAAGAACCAGAACATGTCGCCAGAGTTTACAGCCAGTGAGCGCACAGAAAAGGAAGAAGAAGGAGGAGGAGGTTGGAGATGTGTTATTTTAGGTGGGTTTTTTTTTTTTGCCAGTCTGGGGAAGAGGATAATACAGTGCAGGAAGTGTAGCCAACAATAGATACCTCAGTGATTATCACTATAGCTTCAGATTTTTAAATTTTGTCTAGTGTGCCTTTTTATCTCGATTTCTTTTTTTTCATCTATGAGTTCAGATTATTGTTTATCATACTGTTTATATGGCCTCAAGGGTTCCCCAGCTTTTTATATTTGTGTTACTTTTTTTTATTGAAAATTGTTTTCCCATACATGAACTAGCTGCTATAGTCCAATACATGAACTAGCTGTAGTCCAATACATGAACAACCTGCAAACTACAACTACCTCCATACACAAACAAGTTATAATTGTGAATAAGCGATAGTTGTTTCCAGATATGAACAAGCTTTGGTAGTTCCCATATATGAACAAGCTACAACTGTTCACATGTATGAAAAGCTTCAATTGTTCACATACATAAATACTCTACAATTATTCCTATGCACATATTACTGCAGAGTTGTAGTAATCAAACAAAATGACTCACTTTTATTGTTCTGTCCCCTGAAGCTGACACTATGTATTTCTCATCAAAGTCAACAACATTTACAGCTGCTCTGTGGCCAACCAGAACCCGGCGAAGATTAATTTCTGTGGGTGACTGCATATCCCAAACAGCAATAGATCGGTCCTGCAAAGAGAACAAGAGTCAGCCTGTGAAATATCAAACCTGACACCTAGGATATTCATATAAGCAATGGAAAAACAATTCTGAACAAAAGGTACATCTGATGACGAATGCTTAATTAAGCATAAAAGAATCGGCCACCTGTAACTGATGAGCAAAAATTCTCGAATATGTCCTACAGGATTGTCCTATCTATTCTCTGCAAAGGTTGGGGATCTGACAGGCTTTAAGAGACTGGCGGAGGCCTTAGTCACACAGACAAACTGAATGTGTGGCATGACATGTTGAACGCAGAAAATAAAGGAAAAGATAGTAAATGTAAAAGACATAGCAGATACCACTGTACATTGAGAACAACTAACATAGTTATCATTAAACATTCATTAACTGGTGCCTGTGCAAAATAGGGGGAATTATATGGTACAATAGAATCACTAACGTGAAGCTTTGGGAGAGTACTAAACACACTGCAGTGAATCAAGAAGTGAAGAAAAGACGCTGGTGTTGGATAGAAAAACTTGTGAACAATATAACTGGAATATTTTTACACTGGAACCCAAAAGGGCATATAAATAAAAGCAGACCAAAAAATATAAAGAAGGAAACTAGAGAGAAGTTAAAAAGATGGAGATGACATGGGGTCGGCTGCACTGAACAACAAAGGATAGGATGACCTGGCATGTTGGTTGAGGGTCTATGCTTCATTTAGGGATAAAGGACAGAAGAACACGTGATACCACTGTAAGGATTTGAAATGTAGTCAGGTATCCATTTTAATTATTGTTTTAAATAATGTGAACCAGTAACAAAAAAATTTTTTTTTTCTTTTTAAATACCATGAAATAATGCCAAATTTAAACATTAATTCTCAGTCGAGTATCATTTGGCCGAAAACTTAAGGGTGCTGGGCTTTCATTTGGGGCACCAAGGTCTGAATATTAGGCCTGAGAATACCCGTAGATTTCACTTAGTCACTCATTCTCAAAAAAAGAAACATTTTTTAAACACGGACAGCCTGGTAAATGTAGAATAAATAAAGAGATAATGTAACACTTCTTTACTTCAGCAATGAAAATTTATGCTGATAATTAATCTCGCCTCATTCTCAAATATAGAAACATATTTTAAAACAAACAAAAGACGCATGCGCACACAACACAGAAACATATATAGAGAGCCTGGGGAATGCAGAGTTAAAAAAAAAAAAATAATAATGTAACACTCAGCAATGTAAATTATTATAGTGATAATTAATCTCACCTTGGAGCAGGTGACCATAATACCATCACAGAACCTAAGATGCAGCACAGCTTCACAGTGGTGAATTAATGTGTTCATCATCTCTCCTGAATGGACATTCCATACTCTGAAAACACAGTGATACATCGTCCCATGTTTGTGATGCTCAACACATATCTCTATCAAGCTGTTCAATCAAACATAGGTTGGTTGCGTATCCTTTACAGGACGTTGCAGAACCAACCCCAACAGCCCCTGGCTGTTGTATCGTTTTTCTAGGTAAATGTTCGCATCGACTTAGCCACAGAGCCGACCAATCAAATATAATCATACATAAATATCAACTAGGGGACAACCGTGGTGTAGCAACTAGATGCTCGCCTGCAGATCAGGAGGTTGAGGTTTAGGTCCTGTTGGAGTCAGACTTTCTTCAAAAAATACCCTGGCACCCAGGTCGGCTCAGCCTTTAATGGGGTACGAGGTACAGTCCTGGGAAGTAAATGTGGCCAACGTGATAATGACCTCCCCCATCATCCATCGTATGCCGATTGGTCTATAAAATATAGGTCTAGCCCTACATGCCAATGCGCCTGAAGAAGCGGAAAATGGCCACTTACTTAATCAATATTAACTAACTGTATACAGTCATGCATTAACCCTTATGTGTCTAAAATACTATTTTATAAAGAAAAGTATACAATTAACCAAAATATTTATGCCAAGTCTCTTGATTTAAAATTACTGAAGAAGATTTCACAGAAACTCACAGAGCAAGAGATCAAAGAAGACTTGAAAACACCATAAAGAAACAAAGAGACAAAGCAAAGAGACAAGGATGTTTTGTATGTGGATGTGCTTGCACACGTGCATGAGTGTGTGTGTGTGTGCAGGATATGGCACAAGAGTGGGCGACGGGGGATATGGGGTACAGGTTACAAAAAAAAAGAAAAAAAAAGATTAAAAGCATTGTTGTAGTCACTGAGGCTAAGGTCAATAAACTAGGAGAACCAGTGCATATGTTGTCAGGAAGTTAAAAGGTTACAGTCGAAAGAATCAACTTCACTGAGTCAGGATTTATCCCAGACGTCTCCGCTCTCTCCACAGAATGGCTAGCCGTCTGCTGAAAGCATTATACAAAATGTGAACTCTGTAGCTTTGGTGACAATGTCCAGAGAGTAAAAAACTGCACTCATGAACTGAAGGTCACAGCTGTGAAACTAACCCACAACCTTCAGAGCACATGGCAGAAAGCTTCATCACTTCGGCACGCTTAAAGTCAAAGTATATGACCAGTGTCCGCCCCTGAAACATAGCGGGTAGCATCTTCATGTAGCGGGTTCTTTGCAGAATGCTGATCTCATCAAAGAATGCCTGAAAGAACTCTCCTGCCCCATGTAGTTTCCTACCCAAGGTGTCACTTATATACTTTGTCCTTCTTGCTGGTCAGCGCTGAGTCCTGGTCAACAGATATTTGAACCAACGTTTGTCACATTGTAGGACTTTGGGGCGATAGACATTTAAACCTGACTTTGTCACTTAGTAAGATACTTGGCCATCAGACATCACTGTTTACAGCCGGTGAACGCGAAGAAGAAGAAATTTGCAGCAGTATGCTAATCGTTAACTTAGTCAATTTTGAGCTAGAACCAGACAGCATAAGCTCTCTCTCTCATTTATAATTCTATATCATAAAACTTAGAACAGGGCTATTCAACTAAGTTTACTCAGGTGCTAAATTGTTGATAATGGAGAATGTCACTGGCCAGAGCTCCCAGCATAGGAAGATCATTAACACAGTACAAATAGAAATGATCCTTGGGCCACTAACTAGGCCTCTGTGGGCCAGATTTGGCCAGCGGACCACCAGTTATAACCGTCACTTAGAACATTCTGCCTCTGTGCTAATTTGTTTGGTAATTATCATAATTTACATACCTTACAGTGGAATCACTAGATCCTGAAATGATTATATTTTCATCGTACTGGAGGCAAAGAACTGATCCAGTGTGACCCGTCAGTACTTGGATACATTCTAATGTGCTTCTGTCCCATATCTGTACACATAAAAGATGGAATATTATTCAACTGGATACGAATGCTGGTGTGTACAGGGCAATCATTTACAGACCTGATGAACAAAGCCACATGCCCTGATAAAAGGTGGAGTCGCCGTGGTGGAGCGGCTAGACGCGCGCTGCGGATCGGAAGGTCGTGGGTTCGCTCCCTGGCAGAGCCAGACTTTTCTTCAAAAATGACCTTGGCTCTCAGGTCAACCCAGCCTTGAGTGGGTACCGGGTGCAGTCCTAGGAAGTAGAGGCGGCCGTCGTGATGCTGACCACATCACCCATCTTGTGCCGTTGGTCTATAAAATATGGGTCTAGCCCTATATGCCCTATACACCTAAAGGCGTGGAAAATGGGTCCTTTACTTTTTTTTTAACCTGATAAAAGGGCGGCTGCACACTGTATTTTGGTTTACAGCTTGGATGATATTTCTGCACCTTTTTGCCCAACACATCCCATTTCAGTAAACTCCTCATTAGTCATCTTATACAACATGCTCATTAATGGGGCAGTGAGTCTTTTCTCTCCCTAACTCCATTTTACTCTCCCACCCCTCCCCTCCCAAATCTTATGTTTTACAATCCTCACAGGCAGATAAACACTATGATGTGTTTGGGTCAGATCTGTCTAAATGTTACCTTCGAAATATAAATCTGGGCTGCTGTTGTTTTTCTCTCAATACAATGATTACAGCATTTGTACAAGTGTTTTTTTTTTCTCCAGTTGTTAGGATTTTCTTAGCTAAAGAATAAAACTGGCTTGCCAAATGATTTCACAAGACCTTTCATCTGGAACAGTGCGATTAACACATATAATAAGAAAAGCATAATTTCTACTATTATGAGCAACGTAATAAGAAAGTTGTTTACACAAACATTTATATATGTTTAATTTGTAAATGGGAAAAAATCTTAAGTGTTCAGAATAACAGTGTGTGAGCACATCTATTTGTAAAGAAGTGGGAGGGAAAGGGGTGAACAGAGAGGGGGGGGGAGAGAAAATGTAAATGTTGATAGCTTTCTAATGTTGGCCTTTTATGAAATCTGAATGGGGGAAGGGGGGGGGGGGGAACTAGGAAGAACTATTCTGGCTTTAAAATGTACCTTAATTGTGTTGTCTCTCAAGCCACTGATAATTTTCTGATCATCGTACTGAAGGCAGTAGACCCCTTTGCTGGTCTCACTGAGGCAATGAATCCGCTGCAACTGATGTCTTCCAGTCCGCCAGTTATTTTCTATTCTCTGCAAGAAAGACCAAATCTTCGTCATTTATATTAACAAGCCTGATTTGAAGCCTGAGTACAAATCAAATCAAGGAAATAATAATAAGAAGGGCAATAATTTTATAATTAACCTTCTTTGTCTTATCATCTGCCAGCTGTAATCTCAAGCGGAGAGTCCTGGTTGTCAACTCCTCGAATGGGGTCTTGTTCCAGAACTTGAGTTGTGTATGCACATCCACTTACATATCTGGCTTCTCTGTGTGCAGACTACTGGTTTCTCACCTTTCAGGCAGATGCACTCCAGCTTTGAAAAACTCATCACTGATGGTTCAGTGCATAGTTGCAATGGCCCTGTGATAATGTATTCAATTACCCATCCAAGGGCAGCCTTTACAACTAACTGGCCTGGATTTCTTGGTCTGCCCAGCCTACAAATGAGTTCCCTAAAATGTTCTGGTAAAGGCGGCAGGCTATTAACCACATCCCTTACCAAGTGCTACTGGATAAATAATAAACAACGGGGCTACCATCATATACCAAATACATGTCAGGGCATAAAGATGAGGTCTTTATTTTTCATGTCATGCTGCACTCACAAGTGAATTCTTCGGCTTAAGAACACAGTTATTGCACAGTTAGCAGTTTGTAAATGTTAGGGCACAGGGAGAGGTTTATAAATGTAAGTGCACAGTGAGCAGTTCACAACTGTATGAGCACACAGAGATGTTTATAAATGTGAGTGCACAGTGCATAAATGTAAGGGCAGATAAAGAAGTTTATAAATGTAAGTGCACTGTGAACAGTCATAACTGTAAGGGCACCTGGGTAAGTTTATAAACATAAGTGCATAGTAAGCGTTTATGAAAACTTACATCAATATCATGAATAATTTGTGGGTAGAGTGTTCTGTAGAACTTGTGATCTTTCGGTGTCTCTCCATGCCTCTGCTTAAACAAATACTGATCCCTGAGAATAAATTAAATGACAAATGTACACCTATAAATAACATGACCAACAATAACAAAAACCCATTTTCCCATTTAACTCTTTGAGTCCCAGGGGGTTTAGCATCACAGGCCCAGGGGGTAGTAAAGAAAGTAATAAAATCGCCGCATCATGCGATCATTGGGCTTCTAGGTAGGAACCTATGAACGTATGATGCGTTCCTTGGGACTCAAAGAGTTAAGGGTGTCGTCCTGGGAGCCAAGGTCGTTTCTGAAGTGGGAAAAAATTCAGCCAGTACCACTACATAAGTTTAACAATGAAAGGAACTTAAGTTTAAAACTTCATGTGGATTTTGAGGCCCAGTTTGGGGAGAAAAATAGACACCTTGCTCCCCTTACAAGCATGTCATAAAAGGCAAAAAATTAGGGGTGATTCCCTCAAAGTCTGCTTCTGCCTGAGTGGTGAGGAACCAAGAGTCTGCATATAAATAAGCCAGATTTGTAAATTGGATGTCATACAAAACAAGTACTGGAACAAGACCAAAATCCAGAAGTGGATAAACAACAAGGACTTGCTGGAGTTAACAACCACTAAACGACGAGAAGAAGAATTTACATTAAAAGCAAAATCAACCAACTCGATGACGAACATATAGGTTTCAAACATAACTGTGAGAAGAGAGAGAATGTTCTGCATGAGAACGTAAACAGAAAATACAAGTTCAAAAGGGCACAAATATGCGATTCATATGTCGCACTAAGATGTTTAACAAAGTGAAACATGCACATTTATATATAAAGATTTAAAGGTATAAAACTTGATGGCAAAAAATACTGAGTTTTTAATCAACCACACATTGAGATTAACTTACTAAATAATTTGATCAATTAGATATTCTGTCGATGATACCCATAAGAGGAATAAGAGAAAGAGTGTCAAGCAAGGGCTGCACTGCCCTCAGGTCTGTTTAACCAGCATAGAGAAAGTGTTTTAGTCCCACAGAAACTATACCAGGGTTAAACACCAAAGGACAAAAGATCAGACACGCATCTGACACAATCTAACTGGCAGAAGACCAACAAATACTGCAGAATGAAGCAATAATTAGAACAAGACGGAAGTAATGATTTTTTACCAAAGGAAAAGAAAGTCTGGGCTTTGATATTCATATACATGATAAAAGATTGAAACATGCATCAAGCTACTCCTACTTTGGCCAAACAATGAAAGAATGTATCCTCTTTAAGCATTAGATAAATCTAATGAGGGGATATGTCAGAAAACACCGTGATGACTTGATACATAAGTAGCAGATGAGGAGGAAACAGACCAAGAGAAATTATGCTGGATGACCCTAAGATGGAGGCATGGAGAATTATCATCAACAGAACTCATCCATACATCAAGGTCTGTCATCATCACCATCCTGCTGTGCCACTATAGTCACATTTGATGGCCAGTCTAGTCCTCAGTGCCATTCACTCTATCCTGTGCAATAACTTCAACACCACGTATGGAATTTAGTCCAGCAACTTTAATTGCTCTCATCACCCCAGGACCGCCCGCCCTTGGATGTCCTAATTTGTTCAACCCATTTGTCTCTCATTTCAGAACCTGTTTACCAATTCTCTGTCAGCTTTTCCTCATGATGTCCCAATATTTCTTCTTCTTCCCCAGTGTTCCGAGCCCTTGAGGTTCATTGCTGTAGATAGCACCCGCCTCCACTCATCTCTCTGTTCAGTTGGTGACACCAAGTGTTTGCAGGTCTGTCTGGATGTTATCGCTCCATAATCTTCTTGATCCGACTCGTGGTCTACAACCATTTATCTCCCTTTAGTATAGTTTTTACCAATATAAAGCCCCCTTCTTTTTTCTTATAATTGTTTATATGAGCAGCTGTTCATTTCTCTTTTTTCATCTTTCTAAAATTCATCCTATTTAATACTCATCAATTTCCTTAGACATTTGTTTTCGAATGCATTTAACTTTCATTCCATGTTTTTAGTGGTTCTTTAATTTTCACTGAGGTGTTAAATCTGAAACAACCTTAGAATTAAAAATATGTTGTTTTTAACATTATACAAAGATATGTCAAGACCTGTGACCAGATATAAATGCCTGTGACATCTTGGAAAACGTATGAAAAGAAAAATAGTTACATACCATCCTCGCCGTTCTGAAAGGCCTTTCCATAGACTATCTGTGCGAACTCTGCGTTCTATAAGCTTCTTCCACAGGTTTCCTTCTGATATGACTCTATACCATTCTTTGCATACCAATTCAGCGGCACAAAGTGACTTGGCATCCACATAAGCTAGTATGTTCTCAGCAATATGATCAAGGCCTTTGGCTTAAAAATTATGATAAATAAATGGTTAAAATAATACTTCTATTATTTCTTTTACATACTTATGCTCACAGTTCAACCTTTTTTTTTCAAGCATTTATTCAAACTTTTAAGAAAAAAAAATAATTTCTATTTATTTGATCTCTTCAATAAATAAATAAAATGACATACTAATAGCATTACAAATGTTAATTTAAAAAGAAACAAATCCATTGGTGAATCAGATATACAGTGCTAGACCCACATTTTTTAAGGTCAACTGGCATAGATGAGCGATGTGGTCAACATCTTGTCAAGCACCTTCCCTTCCCACAACATTTTCTGTTATTAATTTTAGACGGGGTTGCTGTAGAAGTCAAGGAAATGTTTAGATCTGCCCCAAGTTGAACCCAAGACCTTTAAAGCACTAAAAATGAAATGTGTTCAAATTAAGTAAAGCTGTGAAACGAGTTATGAACTTTCCACTGAAATGAAGAACGTATACTGCTTGTTTCAGATATACAATAACATCACACACACGCCCACACTCTATCTCTGTCTCACTCTGATATAAGTGAGACAAAACACATACCACAAATTAAAAAAAAAAAACTGCTGTCTCCACAATGAGGATTAGCTTCAGTAGGTGGGTTTCCGGGCTCCAATGTTGGGAAAACAAGAATAGACCCACTGTCTACCAGAAAAAAGCACGTCTTAATAGTCAACTATTTGGGAGCTTCCCTCAAAGTAAAAGTGCATCTGCTTGAGCGGCAAGAAACAGCCAAGTGCACACAAATAAGCCACTAAAATGGATGTACCAAAAAAAAAAAACACTCAGGCCCTGGCACAAACTCAAAGTCCAAATGGATAAACAGCCAGGGCTTTCTGCCACAGCTTACAGTCGGTGAACAAAAAAGAAGAAAAGGAGAAGCAGGGGGTATGTGAATCCACAACTATCTAAAGATATGTGGTGAGGCTCCAATCCCTTCCATGCTGTGACTCTTACTTCACTATTCGATCATTCTTCTTATTCTCCTGTGGTCGTCTTCAAAAAAAAAAAGAACTTGACATACTGTGTTGCAGTTTACAGCTTTGGCAGGACACATGATGATGATGTTGATTATGATGATGAGTAGTTTACAGCTAGGCTGCAATATTTGCGCCTTTTAGTCCAAAACACCAAATTTCAGCAGACCTTGAAGTCGTCTTTACAACGTGCTCGTCAGCATCTGTGGCTTAAGCTTGCAATGCCCAGATATCAAGTTCAATCCCAGCAGCAGACGATTAGGCAGCAGACCATCTTTGCACTGGCTTGGAGAATATTGCGACCCTACCATTCAGACAGCAAACGGCAAATTACTAAAAGTAAAATCATCTGTTTAAAAAAAAAAACACATCACAACAGCAAAACAAAATTGTGGGATTGGTTCTGCAATGTCCTGTAAAAGACATGCAACTAACTGACTGTTTATTGGGGCAGTGGGTCTGGTCATTTCTCCAAAATGAGGCCGCAGAACCCACACTGGGATTTCAACCAATGAAATCTAGGAAATAAAATCAACACTGCCGTAGACTACTAGAGTGAACCATACCTGGCAGTGCAGAAATAAAATCAACACTGCCGTAGACTACTAGAGTGAACCATACCTGGCAGTGCAGAAATAAAATCAACACTGCCGTAGACTACTAGAGTGAACCATACCTGGCAGTGCAGAAATAAAATCAACACTGCCGTAGACTACTAGAGTGAACCATACCTGGCAGTGCAGAAATAAAACCAACACTGCCGTAGACTACTAGAGTGAACCATACCTGGCAGTGCAGAAATAAAAATCAACACTGCCGTAGACTACTAGAGTGAACCATACCTGGCAGTGCAGAAATAAAATCAACACTGCCGTAGACTACTAGAGTGAACCATACCTGGCAGTGCAGAAATAAAATCAACACGCCGTAGACTACTAGAGTGAACCATACCTGGCAGTGCAGAAATAAAATCAACACTGCCGTAGACTACTAGAGTGAACCATACCTGGCAGTGCAGAAATAAAATCAACACTGCCGTAGACTACTAGAGTGAACCATACCTGGCAGTGCAGAAATAAAATCAACACTGCCGTAGACTACTAGAGTGAACCATACCTGGCAGTGCAGAAATAAAACCAACACTGCCGTAGACTACTAGAGTGAACCATACCTGGCAGTGCAGAAATAAAATCAACACTGCCGTAGACTACTAGAGTGAACCATACCTGGCAGTGCAGAAATAAAACCAACACTGCCGTAGACTACTAGAGTGAACCATACCTGGCAGTGCAGAAATAAAACCAACACTGCCGTAGACTACTAGAGTGAACCATACCTGGCAGTGCAGAAATAAAATCAACACTGCCGTAGACTACTAGAGTGAACCATACCTGGCAGTGCAGAAATAAAATCTCTCTGTAACATAGGCTTGAGAAATGAGTTGATCTGACCATGCTGGTAATGGCACATGCGTGAAAGTAAATGCTCAACAAATATCACTTGCTGTCCTTCACACCAATTTTCAAAATATTTTGTACACAAATCTCTATCCCGGATGAAATCCTCGGACTCCATTAGATCCTTGTTAATGACAGATGGCACTAAATGTGTTGATTCAATCTGTAACAGAGAGCAACAAAAATGTCACAACAAAATAGTATTAAAGCAAAAGTATCAGTAGTTTTATTTCCAAATGAAATTTTTCATGCAATATACTGTTTGTATTCTCATTAATTAAAGCTATTACATAATTCCCCTGAGTATATAATTACTCCTTTTATTGAGGTAATTTTTCTCTTAGGACATGACTTCCCTGTGTTGGTTCTGGGGCCACATTTTAGAGAAAGGGAGAAAAAGAATACTCACTGCTCCCCTAACATGCCAATATTATGCCAATATGTCTGCCTGTTCATATTACAAAACACAATTTTTTTTTTTAATATCATAAACAAGCAGACTAATATCAGAAAAGCAGACTAATAAGGGGCGTTTCCTTCAAAGCCTGAGTGCATTTCCTGAGAGCTAGTCGAACAAACAGAACTTTCCACAGGAGCTTACAAACGAATGCTAAAAAAAAAAAAAAAAGGACATGGCTCTGTATTCCTGTCCAGACTGGTGGATGTGGGGGTACAAAGAGAACTGGAGATGCCACACATGAACATTTCACTAAAGGCATAAGACATCTGATTACTCAACATAAACCGGCAGGAAAAGTCATTTTGTGCTTGCAAGGCTACTGACAGGATTGGAGCAGTTATGGATCTGACTGGATGGCTGTGGCAATAGTTCTTGAGACTGATAAAGAAAGAAAATAATCAAGTGCTTGGAGACTTTAACATCCGCTAATTTACACAATACAGAAGACAGGCAAATAAACTTCGGTTGCCTAGGGAGCTGTAAATCAAGGTGAGTTGTATTTACTAGCAGACTGATTACAGAACCAACATTACTGCGTGCTCAAAAAACTTCAGATGCTCCATCTCCAACTGCAAATCAAATCAGTTACAGCAATTAAAGATGGTCTGAAGAAGTTTAACAAAAAAAAAAAAGCCCTATATAATAGAAAGAGCTCAGTTAAGTCAAACAAAATCACAGCAGTTGGGACATTCCCACAAAGACTCCACTCTCATCTTCAGCAACCAGTCAGCAGTTCCCATTTCAGTGGTACTTGCAGCAGGTGATGTGTGTGTTTTGCCTTTCCTATGAGTGTCACTCCCCGCTGCACCATTCTCTCTACACCCTCTCTCATGTGGATCTACACACCTGGTCATGCGGGCGTAAAGTGAAATGAGCGAGCTGACCAACTGGCAAGCATTGCACTAAGGAATGTGGAATGAAACATGGACAGAGCAGATATCGTCAACGCTGTATGGACTTGGCTAGTGGATAATGAATTATCCCTGAAACTAACACAATTGCCTGACATGGGAGTAAAGCATGGTGAAGCACGTCTATGCAGTCTTCAAGGCCGAGATAGAAGACAATATAACCAGCTTCTCATGGGAACAATTAGTAGAAGTACTTTAGAGTGGCTGCTGCATCGGAAGACTAAGCACACATTGGAATGCCCAATGTGCTGTGGCGGTGATTGTGATAACATAACATATCTCCACACCCTAATGGTCTATTTGTGCTTCTGCCTTGTTCACTTACTCCCACAGGGCCTAGACCACATCTAGCTTCTCAGCCATCATGTCACCACCCACACTGGTGCAGTACTAGTCAATATGTCTGCCTGTGTATTTCCCAACACACTATATCATTTTTTTTTTTAAATAAGGAGTTTGGAGCTGCCGTGGCTGGACGTTCGCCCGCCTGCAGATCTGAAAGTCATGGGATCAGGCTTTGACAGAGATGGATCATCAAAAATACCTTGGCTCTCAGATCAACCTAAACTCAAATGGGTACCGGGTAAAGTCCCGAGTACAGGCAGCTGGTATGATGCTGACTATATTACCCATCGAGTGGCGATTAACCTATAAAATATAGGTATAGTCCTATATGCCATATATGCCTGAGGGGGTTGTGGAGAAAAGTCCTTACTATAAGGAGTTAATAGATGACAAAATGAAAAATAAAGGTACCTTGTAAATGTCTCTATGTAAATTGTATTTGTATAGTTGGCCTATGCCATGTGGCACTGATTATTATTATGCCTCTCTAGACCCTTTAGTCTCAAGTACACTGATACAGATACTTCTCTGCTAAAATCTATTGTCTTTTTTTCACCCTATGACTCTTATCCTCTCCAACTTCCCATTCTCACAATCAAATTGGTTTTTATTTCACATAATATGCTTAAAGAATGTGGACTGTCTGCTTTTGGTGTTGTTAACCTGTTCTTTAGTGAAATATGTTCTCTCAAGACATTCATTATAACACTGGTATTACATATTTCCTCTGTTCATGAGTTTTCTATAAAGCCATATTTCTGTAATTCAGCATTACTGCAAAATAATTTACTGCTTATCAATGATTTATTTTCATCTAGCCTAAAATAACAAAAATACATAAGACGGGTCAAACTGATTAACTTTAGTTTTTCCAAAACAAGTGTGTATGTTGTGTGTTTGTCTCTCACTGAAGTCACAAAAGTAGGTTGATTAAAATGTATGCAGATGTTTGCTGCTAAAAGATGGGCTATTTTCACTATAAACAAAACATGACACTGATTTTCAGATTAATGTAAGAAATTATTTTCCAAAGTTGTTGCCGAACAAAAAATTTTTGGGGAATTAATAGGCAAGCTAGTGAAATTTTACATTCTGGGTCTTTATGGCTATCCTCCGAGTAACAGTCCCAAATTATCGAGGCGGAAAATATACCCTAACAGGGCCTCAGTCACGTATCAACTGCGCACTTCTGTCATCTTAATTAGCGCACTTTCTGCGACTTCTGCCACAGTCCGAGAGTATCGCATACGCCGCTCATGCGGCGTGGATTGGGGCTAAACTAGATGTCTAGGGCTCAAGAGCAGCAGCTACCGCATCTCCAGCAGCTTCCTTCATTTTATTTGCTTGAGTCCTAGCCATCTAGTTCAGCCCCAATCAACGCCGCTCATGCGGCGTGGGGGATACTCTCGGCGGTGGCAGAATTCGCTGGAAGTTCGCGATTCGACGGTGGCGTTATAGTCCCCGGAAGTGTGCAATTGACACGTGACTGAGGCCCTGTTAGGGTATATTTTCCGCCTCGATATTTTGGGACCGTTATTCGGAGGATACTGCTTTTACTTATGAAAGGATTATAGCTGGAGAGGGATTAAAACCATACAATGATACCTCAATGAAGCCTGTATGTTTTTTCTAAGCTGCGATATTAACATTTTAGTGTAGCTTGACAAAAAAGGATGGCCGAATTGCAACCAGGTAAAATTTTGGTTTGAAATTACATTTTTGCATTTTATGGCAATATTTATTACGTTTTTTAACAAATCCCTTAGCAACTATACATCACTGCAATCATGGCAGTGAAGCCTATCTGTTTATGCATTTCTTAAAAACATGCTGTCAAACTACTAGCAGATAAATGGTGAACGGTTAAGTTGTCAGCTGTATAAATGTGCATAGAATTCACTATCTTAAAGTGGGTCAAATTCTTTGCTCCACAACTGATTGGAGACCATCTATGTGAAACTTCACATATTTTAAAGGAAAGCAAAAGGCAAAAAACATCACAAATTACAGTAATCTCGCTAATTTAAGAGACTGACAGACTTCTACATATCCTTCGGCAAATCATAAACAGCGACCTACCGAACAAAAGGCGTAAACTAAAAAATGTAGTTTCACAGCTCATCAATCAGTTGAATAACTTCTAATACTTGTAATATTAAATATCAGTTTACTTTAAATATCAGTTAAGTGTACTAAATAATATATACAAAACAGATGTCAATTTTCGGATTTAATCATTCACATTCACATGTGCAGGACTGGAAGTTAGAATTTAAAGGCTTAGTGTCCATACATAACAATAGTAACAGCATCCATAACTTAATGTTTTAAAAACCTCTGTCCTTAAAAAAAAATACAATAAAAATAAAACAAATTATTACATTTGTTAGTTGAGTTCTAATTCTAGTAGAGACAAGAGATAGTTAATTCGTGACAAATTACTGTTATAAGTTACAATTATAATATAAATTAATTTAATTATAATAAATAATGAGTCTGCTGTGATACTGCTTTACTGTGTAACTCACTGTAACACAACACAGTGTTGTGTTAATTGACTCAGAGATCATCAACAGACAACAGTCGTTGTTATATGTTTATGTGTGGCCTGCTAACTTTTACCCTACCTACAGTCCTAAACACCTGCCAAATTAGATCTTTATGTAACAACAACAAAAACGACTATCATTTTATTTTTACTACCAGCTTGTTAGTACTGTTAACACCTTCCTTGTGCAAGTGAAGAATTCGGTGAGTGAGAATCCTGAATCCTGGAAATTCACGGGAAACATTCATATTTACACTTTCATTTTTACCTTCTTGTCTGAATCATCAGGTAAACTACAGGTTTCCATATTTGTTTCTTGAAATCCCGTCTCCAATAACTCTGACATTATTTACATAAATTAAAGGGTTCTAACAGCGATACCGGCCAGCGCAAATTGTTGGTGTTCTCCAACTCTTCTGTTACTTTGTGTTATAGAATTGATATCTTCCTCTTACAGGCCAAAAGAGAGAACGTTCGTGACATCACTTCCTGTCTCGTTACATCGACGAGATCTTAATATCACTTTTATCATCGTTTACGAAAATGTAAAGAGGTAAAGATGATAGGAGCGACTTCATTGCACCGGGTTTTATTCCATATGGCTCCGTAACTTTCCGCCGAACAGGTAGCTGGTTGCAGAGAGCGTCGCACAGAGCATGACCTCCGCAGCTCCGGCGACGACCGCCTGTGATCTCCCTAAAATAACAGTCGTGAACTGAACGGCGCCGCCGTGAAACGAACCCACAACCTTCAGAGCGCGAGGCAAACGACTTGGCTACTTCGCCACGGAGACGAAAAGGCATTTTTTATGGCAGAAAGGCTATGGGAACAGCATTATGCATCGAATTCATTCAGAAACAAAAAGTGCAATGATTTGGTCATCTAGTAAGAATACAGCCAGAAGAACTACCAGAATCGCTACATAGGAAAAGATGTCATGTGAAAGCAAGAGATTGCCCTATGATAATATGGACTGATGACATAAAGAGTTTCTACATGGACACTGAATGACAATAGGCATTGCTGCTTATCAAGCCTCTGAAAGCATGCTGAGAAAGGTGAAGACATGGTTGCTTCTAGCAAATTAGCAAGTTAGTTAGTTAGTCGACGGATTTTCCTCATTGCACATCGAACCACTCAGTACATAAGTGCTCGGATCACCTACTCAGTAAATCTCGCAGCGTATAGCTGTAGTTGGTTTATTCTTCTTCTTTGACTATCCGCGTAGTGTTCTTGTTTGGCGACACCCACGTTTAGCATTTTGTTCTTGCAGTCTGACCATGGTTGCAGATTCACAGTTCTCAGTTGGTTCACGTAAACGTCTTAACTCTCTTAGAGCATTCAGTATATCAGCCTGGTCCATGGCTTGTCCGGCTTTCACAGCTTCTCAGCTTGCTCATTTCCTTATACCCCCAAATGTCCTGTCACGAAAATGAAACTGATCCTTGTCAGCCGTGAATTCTGTAGAGCCACCAACCACTGCCTTCGGACCCAGCCCTTCTCTGTCTTCCTGGGCATACTCATCGAGTCACTGAGAAAGCATGCTCCAGTGTCTCGTCTTGTGTCTCTAGCCATGTTACTGCTTTAGTCACCGCCATGGTCTCCATAGTCAGACTGCTTGTAGTTACGGCAAAAGCACTAGAATATTCCTTCACAACTTGAACTTTCTGCTTCCACAGCAGCCGGACTTTGTTGTCTTCATTTTCTATCTAGTTGGATGCAAACAGAAACAAAGATGTACAGCATTCTGAAGGCACTTGCACCAGCTCCTCGCCGGGTTCTATGCCCTCAAGTGAACATACCTGTAAAATAATTTCCTCGGCTTGACCCATCCACGATTTGCCTCTTTTTAACCTGCTGCCTTTTATCTTCTTGATTTGACTATGTAATATGTGTTGTGTGTCCGCCTTGACTGTGAGGTAGGCACGAGCTCGGGAAATTTGTATTCTGTCTTCCGTGGTTGGAAAATCAGAAGGTAGCGCATAGCCCTGCCTGCTGTATCTCTTGTACACCCAAGTATAATGCGCATAGCCTCGTTCTGTATTCTTTCCATCTGCTTATGGCTGAGAGTCAGGATCGCCATCGCGTATTCAAAAACAGAAAATACCAGACCCTGGTAAAAAAAAAAAAAAAAGCTCACAATTTGCCGCAGTCATCACTCTCATTGCAACCAGAGCCCGCTTGGCTTTCATTATAATCTGATCTATGTGCTCAGTATAAGCAAGGGTTCGATCAAAATGTATCCCCAGATATTTCATTACATTCGTTCTTTCAACATCCTCAGAACACAGACTAACAACTGGTGTTGGAGTTTTCACAATATGGTTATTCCAAGAGAACCATGTCACTGTCGGTTTCGCTGGATTGACCAGTGCACAAGCTTCACCACAACAAGTGCTTATGCGACTGAGCTCTTTTTTGTAGATCTTCAGCAACCTTCTCTCTACCCTTGCCCTGACGATACACTAACACATCGTCAGCTTATGACAGTGTTTTCCGGGTCCTGTGATTTGCTCGCCTGTGATACTCACTGTGTAAACGTTGAACAACACAGGAGATAATGGCGATCCTTGTGGCAGGCCGGGATGTATTGTTGTTGGTTCAGAAGTGCAACTGCCACATCTGAACACTACTTTTCGTTGGAAGAGGGCCCAAGAGATCCAGTGAAGCAGAAATGGACTTATCTGGAATTCAAAAAGCTGAGACATTAAGAAATCCAAAGGTACTCTGGTGTACGCATCCTCGAGATCAATTGCCATATCACACGTTTCAATACCTGCTGTTGGATATGCAGATAGAAACAAAATTGGTCAACTGGATCGCATCAGCGCTATTTGAAAGAACAGTGTCGCTTCATGTGGTGAATGGGCATCCGAACCTCAACGCGTCCTAATGGGTCACCATTGTCGCCTGCTCTCTTCAATGTGTACACAGCAGGAGTCACGAGTGCACAAAGCGTAGGCCTAGGCAGAACAATGTCGTATGCAGATGATATCCTTTTTTACCATCGAGGTAAAAACAGACAGGAAATTACAACCACACTACAACACGAACTAGACAGACTTAGCGAGTAGTGCCAAGAATCAAGAGCTCAGATGAACCCGTCCAAAGCCTCCTTAACATGGTTCTCTCTGAATACCCACATCGTCAGTACACCAACGCCAGTCGTAAGCATCTGTGGTGTGGATATCAAGAGAACGGACACCACCAAATACCTGGGCATGACATTTGACAGATGCTTGTCATACAAATGCCACGTAGACAACGTCATACTTAGAGCCAGGAAAGGTCTGACAGCACTCAAGGTGCTAGCAGCAGCTGATATTGAACAACGCCTAGCTGAGGTAAATGGTCGAAGAGAAGAAGAAGAAGAAGAAGAAGAAGAAGAAGAAGAAGAAGAAGAAGAAGAAGAAGAAGAAGAAGAAGAAGAAGAAGAAGAAGAAGAAGAAGAAGAAGAAGAAGAAGAAGAAAAAGAAGAAGGAAGAGGAGGAGGAGGAGGTATCTTATTTAATATACATGTTGTCCTCGTAAAGATTCATCATCATCATCATCATCATAAACCATTTCTGCCGTTAAGCGTCATGGGGATGAATAATTTGCGATCCAGTGCACGTTGGCTGCCACTGGCTATTGTCATGCCGTGAAGGCGTAGAGTGTCTTTAATGTTGTCGATCCATGTTTTCCGCGGCCGTCCTCTTGCTATTGTAGTTGATCTTCTGAGATGTAGTGCTTGTGATGGTATTTGATCTTGCTGCATTCTAACGAGATGGCCAAACCACTTGATCTGCTGTTTCTCGTTGAATCTAGTACAAGGTGTCGTACCCACAATTTGCCTGATAGTTTCATTATTCACTCGAATAATGTAAAGATTGAACAGCTCTAAAAGACTATGGTTAGGCACCAGCGAGGAGATAAAATTAGAATTTTGAGAGCATGCATCTTCCCTGTGGCTACATACGGATGTGAGTCGTGAACTATCTCTCAGTCCTTAAGAAAGAGAATAGGGGCTTTTGAGCTGAAATGCTATAGAAAGATTCTCAGAATATCTTGGACAAAGAAGATGAGAAATATTGACATTTTAAAAGATCTGAACATCAAGGAAGATTGGCTAATAAACAGCATTCTTTCTCGGAAGCTGAATTATTTTGGTCATATCAAGCGCCACGACGGGTTGGACAAAAATTATAGCAGAAGGCTTGGTACCAGGAAAGAGGGGCAGTGGCCGACCGACACGAAGATAGGCACAGGATATAAATGACTCTTTTAGTGTGAAAGAGCATGAGGCGGGAGAATTGGCGAGAGACCGAGTTTCTTTCAGGCAGACTGTGATGAGAGCGACGTTCCTCAAAGGACCTGCTACATGATGATGATGATATTGTCCTTGTAGAAGTTTCAGCTCAGGCTATCTTTCAGCGCATTGTCGAAGTATGGGATTATTATTACACAACTAAATTTTAACGCATTCTTTTAATTATAAGGCTAAATCTGATTGGTTGTAATATAATTTCTTTGTGTGTTTTGAAAAATTAGGCAATTGTTGCTTGATTTTTATCTGTTACGTTACACTGAGAAATGTACGAACAGTTGATCAGACTGCTCTCTCTTTCTCTCTCTCCTTTCTCTCTCTCTTTCTTTCTCCTTTCTCTCTCTCTTTCTCTTTCTCCTTCCCTGTCTCTCTCTCTCCCCTCTCTCTCTTTCTCTCTCTCCCTTTTCTCTCTCTTTCTTTCTCTCTCTCTCTCTCTCTCTCTCTCTCTCTCTCTCTCTCTCTCTCTCTCTCCCACTACTGCTGCTGTTTGTTTTGTTTTCATTCAATGCTTCCCAGCTGCGCTCATTTTGGGAAACACTGGTTTCAATGTTTCCCTATTTATTCTAACTACTCTTCTACGATCCCTATATACACGTTACACACTCCAGCTGAACTGGAAACAACGAACTAGGGAGAGTCGTGCTCACTACATGAAGACTGGTGAAACAGCAATGAACTGGGGCGAGCAGTTGCTCACTACAGGAAGGTTGGTGAACGAACATCGAACTTGGGCGAGTAGTGCTCAATACAGGAAGACTGGTAAACCAGCAATGAACTAAGGCCAGCAGTGCTCA